GATACTGAAACACAAGTTCCTTTGTGTTAGAAATAACATTGATACATTTGCAGATGCGGATCTGCCTATCATATATGCGTTACCTAAACTACATAAAAATCCTATAAAGTTTAGATATATTACTGGTGCCCATAAAAGTAGCATTAAAACCTCTAGCACAAGAATTACACATTATTTTCACGCACATAAAAAATCACTTCGTTAATTATGTCAAAGTAATACAAAACAGAAATAGAACAATTAAAACATATTGGTCTATAAATAACATTAATATAAGTCAAGATCTTAACAATATCACATATGAAAATCTTAAAATTTACACAGCAGATTTCGCAGACATGTTCACTAATTTAGAACATAACATCATCATTAGGAACATACAGCATATCTTAAACATTTGCTTTAAGAATGCTAATAAGTCGCTAATAGCCACTAATGGCTATCACGTCTTTCTATACAGATGGTGAATCAACAACTAAAAGCTATAGATATTACAAACCTGCTGATTTAATATATTTCACAGATTATTTGCTTAAAAAACAGTTATTGCACATTTGGCAATTATATATTTAAACAAAACAAAGGAGTACCACAAGGAGGTAATTTCAGTCCACTGTTAGCTGATCTTACCCTCTCCGTCATGGAATACAATTATGCAATAAGGTGTAAGTTTAATAAAAATAAGTTATTCATTCCATTCAGATATATGGATGATTTGCTAGTAATACATAACCAAACCGAGGATAATATTGACATACAACTAGCAGAAGTGTACATGAATACACTTGAATTAAAGAAAACACATTTAAGTGAAACATCTAGTAATTATCTAGATCTAACAATTAGTATAATAAATGACAGAGTTGTAACCAGATTGTATAACAAAACAGATGATTTTCAGTTCAAGGTCATCAGATTCCCACACAATGACACAAATATCTCCATAAATAATAAAGGCTCCGTCATATACACTGAAACACTTAGAATAGCTAACACTTGTTCCGTTTTGACACATTTACTGATAAACTAACAGAATTCATAAGAGTGTTACTAGGAAATGGTTACCATGAGAACTTTATTATAACTAATATAGTTAAGTGCTTTTATAAAAATAAGTTTATATGTTACAAATTTTCAATTGCTAATAATTATAAAAATATTAATAAGTTAGTGGAAGGAATACTTCGTCACTAAATTTCTATCTAAATTGCTTAGTGGAACACGTGCTAACGCCCACCTTTTACACTTTATATTTTTACATGTTCAGTCAACTTATATTTTCATTCATTTAGTCAATATACAATTCATTTCATTGCATGCTCCTCTGCATGATAAGTACGTCACATCAAGGTTTATTCGTCTTTCCCCTGTGTCTTTATTTCGCCAATCCCAACTCACTGATGAGCTCCGGGGATTGACGAAATAATAAGGTTCGTCTGAGGAAGGAGCGAAACGAACCGTATCTATTATTTTGTTTATAATGGTTTTTCTTTCTTATTAGGCTGAAAAAGTGGTCGAACGTAAAGAGAAAAAGTGAAGAAAACGCCCAACTGGGGCTTAGACAGGGACATGCCCTGCCGTTTAGGGAGACGTGTGTTGGACGAGTTGTCCGAACCTGCCCGTAGTACATGCGCTCCAATTGCAACTGCTGGCAAATAGCTGCATGCTTGCAAATACATAACTATTTGCCAGCAATCGAAATTGAAGCGCTTCAATTGCGTTCTTATGGAATCGACCTCATACAGCGCGGCGGTCCCGCAACGACCGCTAGTCAAGCACGGACTCTGCACAGCGTATGTTGGGCGATCCGCCTCTTTATGGGTGATCCGCCCCCTCCAAGAGGACTTCGACCCCTTCCAGCGCATTTTAGAGGTAGGTTTTGAAATTAAAGACATTTCCTATAAACTTTAGTTGGGCTGGGGCATGTTTTGACCGCCTAATGACCAAGTAGTTGAAACCCTGCCTGGACTGTTGCTTTAAGTATTTCGGAAACAGACCATTCCAGAGAGGACACACAGCTTCCTAATCCGAACGAAATCCCTACCAGTCAAGCCAATTTGGCCCAAGTTCCCCACATAGCTGCAAGAATTTTCAGCCGCAGCCGTGATGAGATCGTTGTTTTACATTGAGGCCAAGACAGAAAAACAAGCTGACATAGCTGCATGGTTGGTGAGCCCCGGAAGACGAGGAAAGCTTTCGACGCCAATAACAGCAATTCTTTTGCTATCCCCTGAGGCAGTTTCAGAGTTACGGACCTGTTGATTTTGTCTCCTGGTTTCAAGCCAAAATCCCAGTAGTGACGGACTACGGATTTCAATAGAAGAGGACAAGAAAAGGTGTCCCATAAATGGCGCCTGCCCCAGAAAATGAGGCACCCATGAGAACGATAGGCTCTGAGGAGTTTTCTTCAACGTACTTCTACAGTATCGGATTACCTGCGTTCTACCCCACCTTGGCCTGCTAAGCGAGAAAAATGCTCGCAGACTTGATTCACAGCATTCGCGCCGATTGGGGGTGGGGTTTGTGTGATATGGGCGTGACCTGGGAGTGCTGGACGAGGGTACTCGGAAGCTGTACTCAATTTGGGATGACTCAGAGCCGCAAAAATGACGCAGTCTAGTCTGTTCAGCGAAAAAGGCTGATTAAAGCAGACAAATACAAAGCAGAGCTTTCATGGGGTTAACGATGGCTGCTTAGTTAACCTACACTTAAATCTCTAGCCCCGTTGCGTTGAAAAAGAACCTATAAGGAGTTTCCTTGGCCCCCATATTTACAGAACTCACCCTGTTCGGCGTTTCCACCAGTTTGTCCAGCAGGTGTATTCGCGTCCACTTTAGCTGCTGAAACAAAGCAACATTCGAGAGGGAGAATTTCAGAACCGACATAACTTACCGGTCCTCCTTCTGCACCTTTGGCCGAAGTTCGATCCTTGACCACTTGTGCTGAAGGAAATCTTATTCATAACATCTTATTGATAAATGCCAGAAAAACAATTCAAAAACGAGTCCATCTTCAAAAAATAGGGAAGAATTTCCTTACGAAAAATGTACATAAACGCCCTGGACCATATGCCGTTTACCCACGCTGTGTTCTTGTAAAGCCACCGCCTTTAGCTGGAACCTGCACAACAAACAATTGCGCGGAAGCAATTTGAAATGCGTTAACACTTTTGTCGCGCAATTTCGCCGCACGCGAATAGCGGTGAAATTGCGCGCGTGCGCGTCGAGCATAAACGACCTCTGCCCCCTACTCCATTCTCAGCAAATGATTAGTTCACACTAGCCAAAATTCAGGAATAGCCATAGCTCCCAAAAAGGGAATGAGGTACGACGATTTCCAAGGTTCTTGGCTTATAAGGCACATCGGCCATTACCCATCGTCGCTACAATACAATAAATATTGTATCAAATCGAAATCAAACGAAGAAAAGATCCGAGAAGTTCACTTTTCAGTACGGCCAGTTGATGGCGAAAGGTGTATTAGCTCATTTGGAGGTGGGAGGGCGAAGGTAGGGGGAGGGTAGACTTTGGTAAAACTTCTCGAAGAAGTGGCTCACCACGGCAAGTACAACCTTCCTCCCGAGAAAGCTCTCACAATGGTCCTCATCTTAACCCCTTCCTGGTGCGCTGACCCATGGCAGTCCTACCTCAAATATACTACCTCCAAAGGCTTTGCTATTATAGGGAGACGGAGAAGGGAGAGGAGGGAGTCCGGTTTGAAATCTTCGAAATTCTTCAATTTTCATGGAACACCTCTCCATAGCTCAAAGAATTTCTGTTGCTATTTCTTCGAGAAACTTCAGAGTCAATTTTGTCAAATACGACCCCCTCCCCCTTCCTCAGCAAAAGTCACAAGTACAAGTCGTTTGTTAGGAATTTTGCAGATGGTTGACGATGTCATCGAACCAAACACCACAATTTTTAGCACGCACTATTTTTTATGTTCCAGGGATTTTATTGCACGATAATTATTTGGATGCTATTCCACTGTCTAAATAACCGAATAACCTGTTTTCCAGGTGTTTGCGCCCCATGCGAAGGTCTGCCAACAAACAGATCAACGATCTTTTGAACTCTATCAACGAGTGTCTCGTCGATGTGGGAGGTGATTTTTTTCACCAAGAATTATTTTTTCGGGGAACACCGGTCCAACATAATGGTTATGGAGCCACTCATAGACTTACCCAGTACTCCAAGTCCCTTCGTTATCATAGCAACATCCTCTGGTCTGATATTGAAGCCTTGAGGACTTTTCGCTGATTGGTTTCCATCACCTGAAAAACTGCGTTAATAAATGAGAAAAATAAAACATCAGATGTTGATCAATCTCTCTTCGGGATGCGCCACGCCTTCTAATTCCGTCCAAAATCGTTGTGGCGTCAACATGTGATTTATTCCTGACAAAGAAATTTGGGGCCATGTACGAGTCAGCGTTCTTATTAATACATA